ACATCGATATATTTCACGGTACACAGGAGAAAACGTAAGCAACAACAAACGCATACGCTACATCGTCGCATTGAAGTATACATGCAAGTATACCGCCACTGAACTTTTACACAGTTGTGACGTCACAACCATGTGCCGGCAAAATCTAGCGTTTAAAATGATTTCCAAGCGCGCGAAAAACTTATCTTTAGATAATTTAAAAGTTTGTGTGTTTAGGATTGTGAAATTTTGCATACTGGTATTTCTTTATGTTCCGCATTGATTTATCACATAAATAAAAAATGTGAAAGTGGCCCATTCTGGAATCTGGATTACGATAGGAGGGTGAACAGGGTCCACGCGTACTTAGGCCTCAAATTCGAGCCCTTTGTACTACCTCCCTGACTAGGGTCGCCCGACCCCTCACCGTCATTCAAGCCATCCCACACGTGAGATGAACCTTAGGACGCTGGAAGGGGAGGCGTCTGTAATCGTAGCCATGTCGGGCCAGGATTCCCCCAACATGGATCGTCTCAGTTGGACTAGAGCGGGACATTCACAGAGTATGTGGTGTGCCGTCTCGTCGTCTGTGTAACATCCTCTACAAGATGGTGATTCCACCAATCCCATGCGGTGCATGTGCTTGTTTAGTTTACAGTGCCCAGAAAGAATGCCCACGAGTAACCTCAGGTTCTTCCTTGATAGCCCTGTACAAAAACGCGCCATGCGAGAGAAGCCTTCAGAGAACCATCTCGTCGCTTGGTGCGTTTTTGTACAGGGCCTGAGGTTACTCGTGGGCATACTTTCTGGGCACTGTAAACTAAACAAGCACATGCACTGCATGTGCATCTAACATCAAGTTCCACCTAGCCCTGTGCTGGGTTTGGGTGTCTTGAGTTATTAAGTTGTTTACAGTTGTAACTGTAAGTGGAAGAGCCGGCTCTGGGCCATAAAACACCTGTTTTGAGGCGAGTCGGGCTAATTTATCGACTTTTTCATTACTTACCTTCCGTTCCAGCATGCCCTTTGACCCATACGAGCTCAAGTGTGTTGCTGCTTGCTACTTGCTCTAGTGCATGGTGACATTCGGAAACCATCCTAGAGGTAATTTTACAGTGACCAAGTGACTGCAAGGCAGCCCTGCTGGCACTTGCGATTCTGATAGTTTTGTTCTTTATGTTATGCATAAGAACTTTTCTTGCACTAAGCGTTAATCCTACCAACTCTGACTGGAATACAGTAGGAAGTTTACCTAGTGGTTGGGTGATATGGAAGTTCAGTTCTTTGGAGTAAATACCAGTGCCTGTACCTTCCATTGTCATAGATCCATCCGTGAAGATGAATATATCTGGTTGGGATGCCATATTCTCATCAAAGAAGATGTGATAGTTTTTCCCTAATATGAATTGAGGAGTGAGTGAGTCCGATCTCCCCTCTAGGATAGGCAGTCGCTTGATCGCCTCGCCCAGAATTCGGGAGTGGCCCCCCTCAATGCCTTTGCTATTCAACAACCCCTTATTTTTCAGACGCAGGAATGCCAGAATGGCCTGCTCTCTCACGTGGAGATCTAGTGGAGGCAGATCCAAGAGGGCCTCCATGACGGCTGTGGGGGTCGTTCGCATCGCGCCTGTGCAGGCAATGCACGCTAGTCTTTGCACATGATTNGATTCTGATAGTTTTGTTCTTTATGTTATGCATAAGAACTTTTCTTGCACTAAGCGTTAATCCTACCAACTCTGACCGGAATACAGTAGGAAGTTTACCTAGTGGTTGGGTGATATGGAAGTTCAGTTCTTTGGAGTAAATACCAGTGCCTGGTCCTAACATTGTCTTAGATCCATCGGTACTACCTAAAAGTAAAGTACCTAAAAAAAATATGTGATTGTGAAAGAAGTCTAAACCTGTGCCTCAGTCCAAAAATTAGCCGCCTACGATTTAGGTTCTTTTAAAAAAAATTCGAAAAACTGTCAAATTATGACGAAATAAGGTTATAACAGCGAAATCGTTAAAGTTATGGGTATAACATGTTACATAAAAAAAATAAGTACTTTTCAAGTACTCTCCAAATCTGTAATAAATTATGGGGTGTTCCATTTAAAAAAAAGTAAGTTTTATACGCCACTCGAATACAGCACGCTCCTGGTGAAATATTTTAGTAACATGCCGGCGGTAATTGTGTACAATTTTATTCTAAGACCTTTTTCGGTATTTTTATGGTAAAGAGTTTCGATCCGAGGGATCTTAGGTGCTACACCCTGTATATTTACTTTGGCTGTTCGGTCGGGCTGACGGTCGGTAGGCGGCAAAGGTTTTTTTAAGTATAACTCTCGCAGAATGCTCGGGCTTGAAGCATTAGTTTCGTGTCACAATTCTTTGCATGCAGATTATATTTTGGAAGCGGATCGGTTGCAGAAAAACGCGCTTAAGTACCTTGATGCATCGAGTTACGAGTACTTTCCAATTTGTTTTTTGTATAAACCAGTGTTTATTTTGATGGGGCGAAGAATTCAATTCGTCGAAGCGAAGAACCTCCCAAAACCAATAAGTGTGCATAACTGGATCCCCGGAGCTCAAGTAGAACCGAAGAAGATCCTAAAATGGATCGAAATCCAAAATTCTGGAGTTACAACCAACAATTGGCGTGTGGTAGACAGGAAAGAGGACCCCAAGGGATAAACTTTGGTTGTCTATGGACCAAACTTCCTGGGACAAGATGGGGGCTACTTGTAACCATCGACCCCACGAGATGGTGGTAGACGGACTGCTGAGAAGATTCAGTCAGGCAAGCTACAACGCAGTTATCCATGCCGCTGTCATAGTGAGTGTGGTACGTGACCGATTTGAGGAGACGGTATCAGTTGTGATGCGGGGAGTTTTAAATCTAGTCGAAACACGGTGCGAAGAAGAGGGCTTGTCTGTTAATCTAACAAAAAGAAACCCCATCCTCTTCTCACCTAGAAAAGAGCTGACAAAGGTAAAGGACATTGTAATGTACGGCACCAAGCTACAAGAAGTGGGAGAAGGTAAATACTTAGGCATCACGTTAGACGAAGGGTTTACCTTCAAATCACATCAGGAAAAAATAGCGAACAAAGCCACGAGTGTGGGCCTGCAGGCGAGCGTTCGGGAGCAAGTAGGGTCTATCTCCAAGAAATTACACCCAGCCACGTACGCGGCACTGGAATAAGACCTTTACCCAGAAGAACATACAGATACTTACCAAGGTGCAGCGCAAAGCTTGCCTTGGAATTACGGGGGCAATGATAACGCCCCCGACGGCAGCTATGGAGGCCCTCGTAAGCTTACCACTTCTACAGCTGTTAATTAGAGCAGATGCACTCAGAGGGCATACCGACTGAAAGTCAATGACGAGGAGGGAACGTTTAGGACCTGAGAGGATAACCAAAACAATTTGTCTTGCAAAACTATTATAAATATAAAATCCTAATAGGGTAAAGCTGAATGGACTCGTGTTTTACACAGATGGCTCAAAAACCACGGAGGGCACTGGCTGTGGAGTGGACGGAAGCAATGGACATGGATGTAGAATGAGATAGAAGAATAGTAGATTCAGGACTAATCTTTGAATGCACACACGTGCTAGGCGCACTAGAAAGATGTAAGCATTACCATGCCTAGGAGATTTAGCAGTTTGACTATAAACTGCCCACTCAGCGAGGTGCGAAATAGCTACCGTAGATTTCCAAGTCTAGTAGTATAAGTAATCCAGTACGAGCGATGGTTTTCGACAGAATGTTACAGGCTTGCATTGCTGTTTTGCAAGGCTGTACGTACGGGTAGAGGTGAGGCTTTACTAGGAGACATCACTGCACGCTGATCATTTGGCTTGGCTTCAAGTTTGACATCTTCCAAAGGTTTTTCAACGTATGACTAGAGGCCTTCTTGTATTCAAAGCATACGTAATGCGAAGCTCCATTATTTATTTATTTTGAAGTTGAAGTACGTACTTTTCAGGGACCACTACTTTTTATGTATCGATAGGGTCCATAACCTATTAAAGTTTATATTTGGATACACAGCTCAATAAATCGTATGCGATTCACTAATTTGTTTGTAATTAAATTTCGCATAAGTTTATAAAAAGAACTGTTGTTGATTTCTAGTTACTAAGCAACTTGTGCTAGCTTGATTTCAATTAATTTTTCTAACAAACAGGAATATACCAAGGAATGAATACTGAGAATATATGAGGGGTTTAAACGTAATTGTTGCCGCATCTCAAAGATTTAGTTGTTCCTGATGCACAGATACGAATCGACGCCGACGTATACATTTTCACCACTTACGTGACAAAAAAATCTGCTTTATAGAAATACGCTCGGGAATACGTGTCTTTATTACCTCACGTAATGTATCATAAAATATGCTCATTTTAACTAGCCACGATTTCTCGGACGGAAACAATGAACACGAACTCTATTTTTACTTTAGAAATATGCTACTAAATCTTGCATCTTCAGAAATTTATTTTTATCACCACTACGGTCTAAATAAACCTTACGTAATCACGCCATAGTAAGATAGGATGGGATGATGACGGCAGATGGCTCAATTTAATCCTTAAAGATATTAGTGACCAGCGTGCGAAAGCACTAAAAGTTCCCCAGTAATTCTGTGGAAAGTTGAACAAAACAAACAACATTTTTGGAATTGAATAAGTTTTGCTTTGAACGTTCAATGTCAAGATTTATTAAAACACGCACACTTCACTTGCTTTGCTTACATAATTTAGGTTGAAATACCATGTAATTAGCATCAAAATTCAATTAAGTGCTCTACATATTTCACCTTCATAAAAAAATTCCTCTTCTTCCTTAACGAGCGATTTTATCGTTTTTATCGTTTCTTTAGGCAGTGTGAATTGGTATATAATAAACGAAGACAATTGTTGAAGTATCAAATCGTTTTTGTCACATACACATACACTACAATGATCGCTTTGGTAATAATTTCATTAGGTACTCTATTACAATTTTTTTTAACACTTGGTTATATTGCAGGTAGTTTTCGCCGCGTGTTTCGCAACCGTTTTTGCAGGAGAGCAGGTGGTAGCTGTCTCACAGGACACCTTAGGAAACTACGACCTAAAATACGCCATCGATGGAATCTCGAGGGTTGAACGTGGCGATCTTCACGGAAATGTCAACGGCGGTTTCTCCTACATCGACCCTTATGGCATTGTCAGAAAAACAGAATTCACCTCCGGAGTTCACGGATACAATGCTATTGGTACCGACATCCCTGTTCCAGTTCAAGATACACCCGAAGTAGCTCACGCCAAAGCTAACCACCTTTCCGTGCTCCGTGCAGCTTACTTGGCACCGAAGCTTCCACAATTCCAAGGACCCGAAGAGGGATTCATCGCCGCCCCAGTTCCTTTACACGCCGCCCATTTTGGTCCAATCGCCAGATTTGAAACGCCAATTGCCCACATTGCCCCAGCCGCCCATTTCGCTCTCCCAGCTCTCCATGGTCATTTGGGAATCGGTGAAACACCAGAGGTCTTAGCCGCCCGTGCTCAGCATTTCGCCGCTCACGCTGCCCGTGGACAACTTCTCCACTAATTGTTCTAATTTAATAACTATACTTTTACGTGTATTTATTGTATGTATTGTTATTGTATTAATAATAATATATTATTTACCAGCTGAAAAAGAATGATATTTAATTGTATATACAATATACAGTGGCTATACTATATTAAATTAGAATATACTCGTACATGCAATATTCTCATAATATTCTAGAATGAATATTCTTATATACTTATAGGTACACTACTTTTTTATAAAAAAGGATTGCATGTAACATGGTACTCTGGAATATTCCATACATTATTTTATTTCTAGAATATTCAAAGTGATGAGATGTTTAAACATTTATATACAGAGTTCTTTTGAGAGGAACAGTTTATATTTCTATGTAAGCATCTCAAACATAGCACCACCCTTATTAAATCTTTCTCAAGACACATTCGAATCCCGACACAAAAACAAAATTTCAAGTTTTACACCGGAAATGAACTTTCCACCAGAGAGCTCTTAATTACGTAATTTTCTCGTTTGGGATGTTATTATTTCATTATTTGCCACTTCGGCATCGATGCTGAGGCTAAAACTAAAGACAATTCAATCGGCTTATATGTACTTATATCAAACAATCAAAAAGGCATATCATATTTCACAGAAATAATGAGTCACATTCGCTTTTATTCGTTATCGCCGGCGACTAATCCATTGTCGACTTGATGGCGCCACGACAATGTTCTAGAAAAATCGCTACAATATATATTAATTACAGTCTTGCTCAATATACATGTTAGTGTGCAAAGGTAAGGAATTTAGTTTGATTTGTATGTCTAAGCATTTGGTGCAATGAGATGAAAGTTTCCTACTATCTTTTTATGGGATTTTTTTCGAAATGAAAGGTCTCAACGAAAGGAATTAATTTCTACCAACTTTAGTCCTCCTCCTCGAACCCTTATCCTGATCGGATATAACTCCTTATATCTTAAGAGCAGATTGTCGGAAGAGGGTACTTAAAAATGGTAATTTGTACGTCTGGAAAAAATATATCCATTGGTGATATCAAAACTTTAAAAGCGAATATCAAGAAAACGGTACTAAAAGTACTAGGCAAAATGAATCGTAAGGACAAGTAAAGCGCAGCGAACATCTTGAAAACTAAGTGTCGGAAGAGGGTACTCATAAAGGGCAAGTGGAACGTCAGGAGAAGACATTGATGGGTACTCCCAAAGGGGGGAATGGTGGTCTAGACTGGTGATGTAAAAACTTATTCTTGAATATTTCGAAAATGTTGGAAGAAGGGAAAATGCAATATTTCCGGAAATTTCCCTAAGGGTCTGATTCTTCTTGCATTATATAGCGTATATCTTGAATGTATGCCGGTAGCCTTTACATGTTTATGTGTACAAAGAGCCCCGTCCCCATTAACCATCAGACAAGAAACACCTTCTGCTGAAAGACGTTTCTTCTGTCACTGTTCACAATAAACGCAGAGCACTCTACCTGAAGAAGCGAGCGGCAGGTAAAGCAGGGCCAAGTCGAGTTGTCGGGAGTAAATCTCATGGATTTGATTTAAAAAAAATTGTGTGATATGTGGAGGAGCCGAATTTGTGGCCAGAGAAACTCTGACGCAATTAAGCAGACGAGAAGAAGTGCACAATGTTATGACATTGCACAGCGGCAGCTACGAGCAAAGGCGACGAGGAGGTTCTCCGAAGAATCAAGTTTATTTCTGATTGTACATAGAAGAGAATGACAACGAGTGCCAATTTACCATCCCACAGATTCTGAAAGACTTACAACTACGGCCGCTCTAAAAGTGAGACTCGAGAGAAACCATGGCGATGGTGATATTTGCGACAGTTATAGGAAAGAGCTCAGTGTTCTGCTTTTGAAGCAAAGGAGAGAAGATCTTGAGTGACAACGGCTACAACTTGAAGAAAAATGCCAGAAGAGCATCTTCGTGTTGTTAAAACAGCCGCAGCGACCAAGGTGACATCAGAGGGATTCACAGTTCGCCAAGCTATTGAAGATGCGGATACTCTCATCGCCCCATGGAATCTAGTAGTAAACCTTTCCAAACCCTGATGCATCCCAAGATAAGGTGGTCAGTGGAGGAGAAAATTTCTTGGTTGGAGTGTACGCCGACAGGGGCACAGCTTCGACTAACTACGATACGAGATGTTTACCAAAACTTTGGCAAATTCAACATTTAGCTTCTCATCCCTTCCTCCTATCTCAACAACAGCAAGTGAACACTCGTACAGCGTATACCGCCAGGCATAGGCGTGGTGTGGAAGCGAAAAATACCGCCTGGGGTAGAAAACAAGGCGGACTGGCATTGTCAATTGTCATTGCCAATGTCCATCTCACGTGGTGTTTTACTCCATCTCTCGCCATTGTAGGATGGGATTCAGGGGCGATGCACCTGTCGAAAGGCAGGACTTTCGACGAATCTGCCTGAACTGTAAAGGGCAGGCGTGCGCCAACGCTCCTGTTGGGGAAGAAGCATTCACCACCCCTCATCCATTAAAGAACGAAGAGGACCTCAGCAGCGAATTGATGGAGAAGATGGAAGATGATCCAGAAAATAATGGGGTAGAGTACGACGAGCGTTTTGATAGGACCAGTATTTTGCTACAGACGGCAGAAAGTTGTCAGATGGTTCATCTTACCGAATATTGGAAAAATTGTGGTCCTTCTATCGTCGATGGCTACCTTATAAATTGGGCCAATTTTAAAGTTTGGGGGGGGGGATCCACGCAGAATCACCGACTTTGTAATACACCGCACAGTGGCTTGTTGCAGAAGCAGAAGAAAAGATCGTACCTGAAGATCCAAACGCAAAAGCCTATTATAAATAAAGAATGTGAACAGTTTTTGGCTTGAATTAATAGAAAGCATCTTTTAAATAATCGATAATGGTGGCATATATCAAGGAAATGTCAAAAGTATTTAAATTTTCTACCCTTTAGTGTATTTATTCAAATAATGCTGCGATTAAAAGGTGGAACAGATTTTGCAACATACCCTAAACAGGTGCGTTTGTGAAAGCTACCATACAAAGGAAAATTGACGAAAGAAATGCATTTCATAGAAAAAATGTTTTTCTACGAAAGTGTAGAAACACGATTGTTTTTGTAGGTAAATTGATTGTGAAAACAGGTCTTTGAAACACTAGTGCGGCAAAAATATTTTCTGCACGCATTTTCTACACGCTAATAAACATATGCGAAGTAACTCTTTATAATTGTATTGCTTTATTCACAGTTTCGTTATATAAGACAGACAATGGTAGAATTTTCTTTGCCTTCTGCTACAGAAAACGTTCTTGGGACATGATTCTTGGAGTCAGGAATCGTTAGGTATCAATAAAATTGCATCTTGTTCTGTGAAATCCGTTACAGTCATTTTACAACGTTCGCTCCGACGGCAAGCTCCAGCCACTCCAAGGACGAGAGAAACCTGTAATTAAATTATGCTTATTTATGATTTAAAAATACAATAAGAAATTCACAAACCTTCATCATTACAAATGTTTCATCAGGCGCTTCTCTCATTTATACTCATTTATACTCGTTTTTCAATAATACCGTTTCTGCACTTGTATTTCAATGTACTATTGTCACATTAAAATCTGTGTTCGATCATTCAGTTACTACACAGCGCTACGCCACGCTACGATTACAACATTTCAAGATTTTGGGTACATTATTGATATTTTAATAAAAAGCTTTTATAAAATTTTTGCTGGATTAACGATCCTCATCAACAGTTATTACACCTGATTAAAATTGTGTTACCCTGTCATCACTTAATCGACAAAAGAGGAGTTGTAAAGCACTGCAAACAAAAATTAAATTCCATCGCGCTATACTCAATTAAAATACCTGGTAGTTCACGCTCATTCGATTACCACATTAAAAATTTTACCCCGAATTCATCCTGAACTAATTATTAATTTCAGATATGCGCTCGGCGCAATTTTTAACGCACTAGCACATAATAACAATAATCTCTGCATTTTAACTTAAAAAATCCATCGATCTACTGAATTTAAATCGGGAAAACAAACAAACAATTAAAATCTGTGCACCCGTAAGTCTTTCGGGTGTTAATAATACAGGGTGATTCGTAGAAAACTTGGCATTGTGATGCACCACACTGACGATGATGAAATTTTGATCTGAGTTCACGGAGAGTTTCTGCGTCAAGTTAACAAAAAAAACATCAATGGATGCGACTATTTAATTCTTCATGACTTTTAGGCGTATAAACTTTCTGAAGGCAGTTGGTGCCACGTAAAACGTTGCACGTACCACGTTTAGAGTTACCTACTTGTCTGTTAATTGTCACCGTTGACTTTGACTTAATTCATCTTTGGGGTGTTATAAAAAAAAGACGACGGCAACAATAAGGTAGGTTTCATCTTTCATGTCTATACTTAAATACATAGAGGCGAAAAGGGTGCAGAAAATTTGTTTAGCTTGTTTGATATTCGTCATAAAAAGGATAAATTATGTATAACGCCGAAAGGCGATGTAAAGTTAAACAGTAAGTCGACAAAAACCAATCTCCAGAGAGTCCCGCAGAGTGGTATAAATTAGCATAATGTCGTTTGTTATAGAAAACACGTGAATTACCCCTGAAAGGAAATTTATAGCAAAAAACTTTATTCAACCTACTTCCGAGCTATAAATCAAGCTCTCAAAAGCGATATCGGTAGGGTTTGTTGTCGAAGCGCTCGCTATGTAAACATCTCCGTAACTAAACTACCCCACCAGATTACTCCAGCTCTCGCTCTCTCTATAAATAAACCCTGTATCAGTTTCTAAAGCATTCATAAGAAAAAAGTCAGCGAACCTAATTCAATCGGTTATACGAAATGCAAATAGGCTAATCTGGCTAGATCCATACGTATTTGCTTGAAATTTTCAATCAGACGTTCGGCTTTGGGTTATCCCGGGGGCATTTCGAAGAGCATCTCATTTAATAAAGCAGTAGACAGTTGAAATTAATTTAGTAGTAGGGATTAACAG